AATATAATTTTCAAAACCAATCTATACTCGTTCCTGGTTTTAGCGCGACACCACCGCGTCGCGCAGCTACCCTAATGGTTATACGGCAATCGAAATGTCGTTACTCCACAAAATCTTGGATCTGATTGGTCCACGTGATACTATATATCACTTGGTGCTTAATTTTCACCTATCTATCATCGCATGGACCGTCTTGATGCTTAATTTTCACGTGCCTATCATCGCATGGACCATCTTGAATGCGCCTAATTTCTTAGTGTGTTAAGGCTTTATGTGTATGAATACGTGATTAGGATTTATTGTTGCAAAGTCAATTATGCTTTTTTGCAATTCCGGTCATTTTTTTTAGAAGGCCACGCAAAGTTGATAGACTTTTCCATTTTTCATAAATATTTGGTCAGAATTTTTGCCGTCCAGATTATTTAATAATACCAGGAACGTAGTCATGCAAATTGATGGGGTGTATGGTTACCTGCCATCTAGAATGTCGTTTGTAAAATCTTACATTTGGTTGGGTGTTAAAAAGCTATCATTTTACATGTCAATGTGCTGTGCTGGTATAACATACTTCTACTGTGCATACCGGTGTTTTTATGATCAACTTTTTTCTATTTTTTAGTTAGTATTGTTATTTTATCGCTATTTATTTCTTATTTTGGCATAGTCGGGTGATTGAATCTCCAAACGGGTGATCAAAGCCCCAAACGGGTCAAACTGGTATCATTACTCGTATCACCCGTTTGGATAGTCCCATACGAATTAAAAAATATATAAGGGTTTGGTTTTGCTTATGGAGAAGAACAAGTAGGGTTGTAGACAGTATTTCTGTAATAATCCAATATATATTGGTTCATATTAATAATGAGGACCTTATATCCGTAATTATAAGTTAGTTATCGTTTTAAACCATTTAACCTTAATCACAATTTGTTCACGATTGAACTAAACCGGCCTAATTTCATCATGCTCGATCGTAACACCAGATTTGGTATTTGTGTTATTCTGAGAACGCAAAAATATGTATCATATGGTGGAACGAAATCAAGTAAAATATTCTCTATCGCTATCAGACTGCCTTAAGATTCAAATTGTATTTATTGTGATCTATTTCGATTTTATTGAGTTTTTACTTAATTTTCTATTCAGTAGCATCAACTCACCAAAAATTATTTCACAGACAACTTAGTTCGCAGAGAATTTAATCACAGGTAGATTATTTTACAATCGATTTATTCACAAATAAGTTTGTTTTATTAGCAGTTATTTCGATGACATCAGATTTCACAGACAAATTAATCCTAGTCATTGACGTTAGAATTAAGTTTTAATTTATCGTAAATTTTCGAAATAGCGGGCATGTACGTTGTTTCAATAAAAAAGTTAAATTAGAGAATTATAAGTGTTACACAATATATCTAATCGCAGAATTAATATAAATAGAAAGAGCAAAAGCTAATCTTTTGACTGTAACGAATAAAGAGAAGAGAAGCGTATAGTAAAGATATTTTACGCCTGAAAGTTGATTAATAACCAGTTGAGCAAGATAACAATTACATCACGTTCCTGGTTTTAGCGCGACTGCGTCGCGCAGCTAACCTAATTTTATGTCAAAAGAATACTTGGGAGAAGTGGATGGAGTACGCTTGAAGCAAGAGCCAAGGGTTATGGGGCACCCGCAAAGCAAATTTGTGCGAGTCAGATGTCTGAGGTATCTATTGGTGATAATGATAGTTGGAGCAAATGGGTTCAGGCCAAAATTGTACTCTGGAAAGAAAATCTTGGTAATATGCTCTCATTGGTAATGACGTTACAGATCAACTAGCATATGTACATGAACCAGGGAATCTGTAAAGTGATCGTATTATTAGTTACAAAATATATTTAATCAACCTTTTATTTTAATAAGATGTCAATCTAAGAATTTCCTTTAACAAATGTATTGAAAGAAAATCTTTAGACTTTATTTCACAAAACGACAATTACTTATTATCGTGGTACTTTATTAACTCAGTAATACAAGCTTAGAGATCAATACTGGTTAATTAAGAACTGAAACGGCCACAGAATGTAGAATAAATTAGTCACTTATTGCACGGGTCTTATGTGACAACCCTTGCCTTTTTCATTTATTGGCACGGGATCGTTACGTCAGACACCGTGCAATAATATAGACTATAATGTATTTTTGTATTATGATCGCATAAGATTCCGTGGTTTTTTAAATTTGAATTTAAGTAATTTTTGAATCTATAGTTAGGGTTGTAAATTACGAGTCCGATCCGATCCGGTCCTAGGATCAAATCCTGAAAACATAACGATAATATATTTAGATCCTCCGAATAAGTTCATCCAATCATTTTAATTCTGTATTGTTAAACAATTTGATTCAGAACCTACAACATAAATAAAATTTTTTGTCTGGTTTATTGTTACACGAAGCTATTAGATAAATTCATTCGACTATCCCAAACCAGGTAAATATATTTTTTGATCGAATACCTAACGATACATAATAAATAATAATGACTTTCGTTATGAAGTTCTTACATCCAACATCAATTTTCTCATCACTATCTGACCTTAGGCTTTCGGCATCACGAAAATTAGTCAAGTCTCTTCTTAAAAAAGAGGATTACCTGAATATTTACTTTTAATAATATTCAAAAAGCATAATTTACAGGTTTTCCCTTGGCAGCAGTAAATGCTCTTTATACTTACGGACTAAGTTAAAATGTTTTGAGTAGAGCTGCAGACATTAGAATATCAATTAACATACGTTTGACGTGACGTATGTGACGTGACGTTTACTATGTTTATATATAAATTTTATATGACGTAAGGAGTGACGTACTACCTTGGACCTCTAAATGTTTGCAGCTCTAGTTTTTGAGCATATGATTTAAATGGAAATTATCATGAACTATTGCAAATAAAATGATATTTATAATTCATAAAAATTGATCATTATATTACTCCCTAAAGAATTAAATAGTTTTTAAGAAATTCTAATTCAAAGTGTAAAATTCAAATGCATTGACGAAAATTTTGAAAAATTAAAATTACTTGTAAATCCAATTAAAATATTTGTCTTCGCTCTTTTCCACACCAATCCCGTAATAATAGCAAATGGCAGTTTTAAAAATTCCCAAATATTTATGAAAAATGGAAAAGTCTATCAACTTTGCGTGGCCTTCTAAAAAAAAAGACCGGAATTGCAAAAAATCATAATTGACTTTGCAATAATAAATCCTAATCACGTATTCATACACATAAAGCCTTAATTCGTAATTCGGGAGTGATCGACAGATCATTATTAAGAATCATCGGGGATAAGTTACAGGAGCGACCGTCGATGTTACACGACTGGTTTTTCACGCGGTGTGAAACACATAAAAAAATTATTTTATCGGACTTGATCAGTCAGTTAGTACATGTTATGATTATAATCCCACACCATTTTTTTATAATAAAAAATGGTGTGGGATTATAATCATAACATGTACTAACTGACTGATCAAGTCCGATCAAGTATTGTAAAATAATTTTTTTATGTGTTTCACACCGCGTGAAAAACCAGTCGTGTAACATCGACGGTCGCTCCTGTAGGGATAAGTAATATCGATATAGTAAATTTATTAGTAATCGATAATCTGGAACCAAAATTTAATTATAAAAGTTTTTTTTTTTATAATCATAATTTTAAAAACAATAAGATAAATTCTAGGCTCTCTAGTTATTTTTCAAAAGTAAAATAATAACAGAAACTTTAATTTTTCAAATTTTTAATGCGTGATAAAACTATTTACACAATAGTCGGCATCAAAGTACCGTATAGCGCTGCATATAGTACCCGGGTACTATTCAAGAAAGCTGACCTAGATTGAATAATACCCCAATATTGGGAGATGGGAGGATAATACAAATAATCGTTACTGATCAATCTACCTTGCTATTAGACATATAAAACCCGATGAAAGATCGTACTATTAATTATGAAAATTGTCCACAAATCGCTTGTCAAAAAAAGGGAGGATACTATTCCAGAGGAATACTATATGCAGTGCTATACAGTACTACATACCGATACAGATGTATCACAGCAGTAAATATACAGACAAAAAGAAAAAAAAAAAATCTCCACGTCAAGTTTTTATTTAAATAAGACCCAGTGTGGAAGGGGTTTCAGAGAATTTTATTTTTATTAAAATTCCAAATACCGATATTATATGTACCTCCCAAGTTGCATTTATGAATCGTAACAGTAATAGGCAATAATTAATAATAATAATATAACGACTATAATTACTTGTTATATTGCCCATCCTACTCTAAACACACATTTTGGTTTTTTTATTTTATTTTGAAATTCGAGTCACAAAGTTGAGTTTCTAAACTCCTATTTATTTCCAAGATACGCTATTTTTTATTAATTTGAAACTTTCCATATTAAAATAAATGAAGAGGAATATTAGTACGCTACATACTAGTAGTTTAGACAGACATTTATAAAAATCCTAAAAAGCAATAAAAGTAAGCGAAGTTGTTTTCACCTGATTTTTAATTTTTCATCAAATCTTATTGTTACTTTTTTGAAAACGATAATACAAAGCCTTCTGGTCTCTCTACTTACATGACTAATAAAAGACCTCAATTGAATATAAAGCTTATTTCTCTTGGTGCTATTATTCCCCGTTTGCATTATGGTATTGATATTTGCAACTGGTGGACTACATGGGGTGAGAAAGACTTGGAAAAGGGAGTTTATCTTTATCCGATACGTGTTGGGTGGCAGACTGTTTTGGAAATAAACAATAAAAACTTTTATACTCAAGTTTTAGAAGGCAATGAAAAACATGAACATTATTCTGGCTATAGGTGTCAAGTTGGACTAAAATTTAGTGATATTGAAGAGGCACCTAGTCCCGCAATTACATCTTTATACAGACGTGTCTGTCAAAATAATAATACAAATTTTTCTGGCCCACAAGTTTTAGGTTGGGATGATCCTTATATGTTAGAACAATCACTAACTGATATTGAATTTCGTCCATTTTTAATAAAAATTGACAAATATAATATATATATAACTGCTTTGGGATGTCCTAGTACCGGTAATGCTGATGAAGTCGAGGCTAGAGTTGGATACACAGCAATGTTTACTGGTGAACATTTAGGAAAACGTGCAATATATATTCAACAAATTGATCTAGATGGATGTCATATAGAAATTTATCAAGATGGTGTTTCTAAATATCATTATACTGGTACAACCCCAAATGAAGTTTGGAAAGCATCTAAAAAACTAAAAAAATTTTGCGAAACTGAACTTTTTGGATTAGAACATCCATTAACACATCAAGTTCTGTCAGCACAACAGATTCCTAAATGTGATGAAACTTATTTTATTTTATTTTTTTTTTTAAGCGATCCTGCCTTTATTCATGTGAACTGTTATATAATTTTTACACCCATGTGTACAAAATTCCTACAACTTATTGCTCTAACGTAATAAAGACTCACCAAGCAAAAATGCCCAATGCGACCTGCTATACCAACTGTTTGT